AAGGAAAGGTGGGTGCTCAGCTGGGGCAGGTGGGAAGAGGCTGGGGCCTCTGCACTCTGACCTGAGTGCTCTCCTACCTCTGCACAGGTAAAGAAAATGAAGAAGATGAAGCAGGAGCGGAGGAGAGACTCAAATCCGTTTCAGAAGTTGCAGAACAAGCGCAACTTCTGGTTGATGTCACATCCTGCCAAGATGGCCAGCCTGGGCCACCGGCTCTCAGGTGAGTGAGCCAGGGGGCACAGTGAGCTTGGGGGCTGGGGGGATGGCAGCCTGGTGGGGAATGACACTGCTCCTTGCCTTGCAGGTTGAGATCTGCATCCCCGACTGCTCAGGATGCAGTCCCGGGTCAAGGACCGAGGGCAGCGCTGTCCTGGGAGCTGTCGGAGCACACTCAGAGGGGAGGGAATACAGCCGCAGCCCTGGGGTTGTGCCTTTTCCTTCGGGGAGCTGCTTTCCAGCTGCAGAGGAGCCTGCCCACTCTGCCTGGCCTCCAGCCTGCCTGGGCCGGGCTCCTCGTCAGCTCCTCCGTGCCTCTTCCCCTCTTGCCCCAGCCTGCACCTGCGGGGGCTCCTGGCAAGTGCCTCAAATCCATCCCTGTTGCTCCATGCTGCTGTGCCTCCCCTTCCCAGCGTTACCGACCCTCACTCCATGACCCCCATCCCCTGCACGGGCTGCATGGAAAGCCTCCCCCGGCCCCGTGTCGGCCCGGCCCCGCGCTGGCGCGGGGGCACCGGGGGGGATCCCTGCGGGGCCGCAGCGCCGTCGCCGGGGCTACGGGCATTGAAGGATGGAACTGAATAAATCCCGGTCTTTGTCACTCGGCCATGGTCGGCTGCGATCGCGAGGGGCGAGCGGCGGGAGGGGGCACCGGGACGGAGGGATCGCCGGGGCGGATGGCGGGGGCGGGGCCCTGCGAGGCTCCGCCCCGCCCGCGTCACGTGCTGCCGGCCGTGGCGGCTGCGGCGCGCTCGTCACGCGGGCGGGGCTGGAGCGGCGGCGGCGGGATGGAGGAGGAGGAGGGCGGCGGCTGCGGTCAGTGCGGGCCGGGGGCGGGCGGGGGGCTCTGGGACACCCACCTGGCCCGGGACGAGGCGCCGGGGTAGTCCGTAGTCTGCTGGGCGGCGGCGACTCTCCCGGGCGGGGCGCGTTTGGGCCGGGCCGCTCCCAGGTGCAGGACCGGGGGCGGTGGCACCGGGACGGGCGGGGATTCGGCGGCGGCGGGACCTGCGCCCGCAAGTGACAGAGCGGCCTTGGCGGCATCGTGCGGGCGGCGGCGGAGGAAGCGCCGGGCGGAGCTGGCACCTGGTGCCCGCCGGCAGCGCGGGGGGCGGGCGCGCCGCGGGGCCGCCCTCCCGGGGCCCGCGGAGCTCCGTGGCCCGCTGCCCGCACGCCTGCCGTCGGCCGCTCACGCTTTGCTCCGGTGCTCCCACGGCACTGCCGAGTCCCGGCCCCGCAGAGCTCGGGGCAGGTTGGCCTCGATGGCGCCCGCTGAATGTCACAATCCCCCGGTTCGGGAGCTCCCGGCGTATGGCCGGACCCGCTCCCAGGGCGGGCCACGGTGGCTCAGGGGTTGCAGGGTCTCCCCTCTCATGCCTGTGCATTCTCCTCCCGCTTCCCTGTGCCCTCCGTGCCCGCAGAGCGTTCCTTCCTCCCCGTGCTGAGGACCGGGACTGGGCAGGGAGACCCTGCCTGTGCTGGTCTCTCCCAGGCAGGCTCCCGTGTGTCGGCAGACGGTTTTCCTTGGGCAGGGCCTTGCGGAGGGGAGGCTGGAGTCTGGTTGAGATGTGGGGCCATGGCCCCGGTGCTGGAGCCGTGCTGGTGACCGTTCTTCCTGGGAGCAGCTGGTGCCAGCCAAGTGCCACTGCCGGCAGTGCTGGTTCTGGGGCCGGTTTCCTGCCCAGCTGTGCGACGCGGCCGATTAGGAGCTGCAGTTCCACCCCAGCAGTGACAGTGCTGGGCTGCGAGGACTTCACTGTGTAAGATAAGGAAGGTGCCGGCGGCTGCGGCCTGGCTCGGGTGTTGTCAGATACAACCCATTAGCGGGAGAGCGCTGTGGGGAGTGGTTCTGCCAGCAGCCTCTCGGTGCTTCCCGGAATCACCTGGAAGACATCCCGGGTCATCTCAGCATTAGAAATGTCCCGCTCATCCTGCCGCAGGGGACGCAGGGAGTGCACAGCTGCCTCCAACCCACTGTTCCTGTGCTGGGGGCAGCACAGCCCACAGCTGCTCTGAAGCCCTTAAGCTGAGTTGGTTTAGCCAAGGACATTCTGCTGAGGCTGTAGCATGGTGGGAGCCGACGGGGAGTCTCTTTCTGGTGGGATTGTGCTGACGCCAGTGTCTGCCCCACGGCTCACGGCCTCTCTTCAGCCGTCTGCCTCGGCAGAGAGCAAATCCCAGGGCGAGCAGCTGGCGGCACAGATGTGTGCTCCCCCTGCTCCTGCCAGGGTGTGGGGCTGCACTCCCACCCCCTTCCCAGCATCTTCCCGTGGGGACAGCAGCGAGACTGAGCCCATCCCAGAGCAGAACTGACCGAGTGGTGTGGCTCAAACGCCTCTGGACCGTGGGGAGGAGATATCCTGGCGGGGAAACATCCTGGCTGCTCCTGCCTTGCCGAGCTGCAGCACTGGTGAGAGGATGTGAGGAGCACAGTCCTATCCTGGCACCGTGTCCTGAGCTGGGCCCCATCACGGCTCAGGCTGGCCCCAGGAGAGGGGGATTGGGCACCGCTGGTAATCCCGCTGCACCCGAGGGATTACTGCTCACTCTGGCCTGGGGATTAAGGGATTTCTCTAAGCGGGGTTGATGCAGCCTCCAGCAAAGCAGCTTGTGCCTGGGGGCCTCACTGTCTGGGGCAGGATGGGTGTGTGATGGCAGGGTGGGCTGTGCAAGGTGTGGGGGATCCCCGAAGGACGGTGGGCTGCCAGGTCTGCAGCAGGCTGGCGGAGGGGCTCCTCACTCAGGTAGTCACTGCCCTCCTTGCCACTGGCCTGCAAAGTTCTGTTTTGCCAGTGGGTGCTGGCAGCCCTTTGGCACAGGCTTGGCTGTCCCATGCTGGGACCATGGCACATCCCATGCTGGAACAGGTCCCACTGGCACCAGGGAACACTGCTGGCGGAGCTGCTGCTGATGCTCCAGCCCTTCCCTGGCACAGTGTGAGGTCAGCCTGGGCAAGTTGCTGCGCCCAGCTTGGCGAGCCACTTCCACAGAGCTCAGGGATGGACTCCCAGGTCAGAGGCAGAGGGACAGTGCTGGGGTAGCACCAGGCTTGGAGAGCAGAGCCAGCAGCTTGGGCAGAGGCAGTTGTGCAGCTCCTCTCCTGAGGTGTTTGGAGCAGAGAACAATGAGCCCTGCTGCTGACACTTGCAGTCATGTCAGGGCTGTAGCTATGGTTTGTAAACACCCTGCCTTGCCTGGACAGGGTGCAAGGACCCAGCCAGGCATCCAGGTCACTCTGTGTGGGAGATGCCACCTGGCCCTGCCTCATCCCAGTCACAGCACCCACGTGCCTGTGTCACACTGGGGTTTCTGCAGATGCCAGTCCAGGCCCAGGCAGGTGCTTGTACAGCACGTGCCCAGCTCAGCCTCCCCCCTGCCCCCGGCTCCCTTTGCTTGCCCTTTTGCCTCCTGGTGATGTGGCAACCGCTGCTCTGGCCCCTGGGAAAGGGGAAGTGGTGTTGAAAGCAGAAGGTCAGTCACATCAGCAGTGAGGGCCTGGCTGCCCTCGCAGCCCTGTCAGCTGCCCTTCTCCACTCTCTCCTCCTCTCTGCAGTCACACTGCTCCCGGCATCAGGGACTGCTCCTGCCTGCCAGGGTGCCCTTCCCCACTGCCTGCCCTCTCTGGGCTTCTGCCTGCCCCGCTCAAGTTACTCCTGGCTCAACGATCCCAGTGGATGCAGGGCTAGGTGAGCGGAGCTGTCGAGCTGCTCCTGCCCTGACTCGCCCTGGGGTTTGTTACTCACGACCATGCCCTGTGCTAAAGATCACTCCTGCTTTGAGGAGAGGAGCTGTCAGTCCGGTTTGGGTTTGCTCAGTGCCTGTGGGGTGGGAGGCTGGGAGGGTTGTGCATTTCCCCAGCTCCACAGCTGTTCCCCAGCCTGGGATCCCAGGGCACGACCCCTGGTTCCTGCTGCAGGAGCCCCCCACACACCAGGGCCGCTGCAGAGTGGGCAGTACCTCTGGGGCATGGCAGGGTCTTGGTGTCTGCTCGTGCTGGCACGCAGAGCTGACTGGGCCTGTTGGGCTGGGTCAGGGCTGGGGCTCGGGCCCTGCGCCCCAGGAGCGGGGGCCGTGGTGGCACCCCCACACTCGCACTCCGCGCTTCTCTGGGTGCACCTTCCTCCATGCGGCGCTCGTTGCTATGCGACCGCCGGCTCCTGATGCTTAATGCTCTAATACGGAGGGATAAAACCACTCTAAAAATACCCCGCTGCCCGCCCCCCGCGGGGGCAAGGGGGCTGCCGGGGGGCAGGCAGCCTGGGCAGGGGGGCCGCTGGGAAGTTCCGAAACTCCTCGTCCTCCAAGTGGCTTTGAGGCGCCCGCTGTGGCTCCGGCGGTGGCACGGCTGGCGTGCCGGTGCGGCGGGGATTGGCTGGGGCTGGCGCGTGGGCTCCTGCGGCTGGAGCTCCCCTTCCAGAGCCAGCTCCAGACAGAACCGGGACTGCTCCGGCTGCCCTGCCTGCACCCTGCCCCAGGCACTGGGGAGCTGCCCTAGGTACTGGCTGCCTGCCTGGCACTGGGGAGCCCACTGCTCGGCCACGCACACCTGTCTGGCCTCTGTGTGCTCCTTCCTGACCTCTGCCTGTCCCTGCCTTGCCCTGCCGGAGCTTGTGGCATTCTGCGTGGGACCCCCGCAGCATGGGGACAGTCAGCGAGCTCTGCGCCTCCAGTTTCCAGGCATTCCTCTGCCCCTCGGTGGCTGCCAAGGCAGGTAGGCACTGCGTGCCCCCTCCCCTCTGTGCCGCGGGGTTCCCATCCCCCCGCAGACACGGCGGTACCCATGGCTCTGGTTCCATATGGCTCTGGCTCCATATGGCTCCTGCTGAAAGCAGCACAGAGTGTCCTCGCCGTCTCACTGCCTCCTTCCTCTGCCGGCCTTCCCAAGCTCGGGCCTCTGCAAGCACTGGGCCTGTCGCCTGGCATTGCCCTGCGCTGGAGCTGGTGCCGTGGTGAGACGGGTGTTGGGGAGCCAGTGGTGGTGGCTGGGAGGTCACAGGCAGCGCAGCATGGCCATGGTAGGTCCTGCCCCAGCCCCTCTACCCTGCCCTGCCCTGGAGGATGTGTGAGCGCTCGGTAGTCCTCATCACAGCAAGTGCCGGAGGCTACAGAGGGCAGGGTGGCACTCTCCAAAGGGAATTCTGTGTGGGAAAGCCCAGCTCCTGCTACGCTGTGGGTGTGCTGAGGGTCAGCCACCTCTGTGACCTGATGCTGTCTGCTGGCTCCTGCCCAGCTTGTGGGACTGGGGAGCTGCGCAGTGGGGCAGGGGGTTGTGGGACCCCCTCAGCCAGCCCTGTGGCTGAGCTGGGCTCTGCTCCTCTTGAGGCCTGGCACCATAAGCAGTGCTGGGAGCAGGTGAGGTGCCTGCCTGGCAGCTTCCTTGCACATGCACAGTGTCTGTAGACATGGCTGAGCTGGTGGTCACCCAGCCATGCTGGAGGCTGGGGGTCTGTGCATGGGAATGTTGGACCTTGAGCCACTGGGAGCAAGGTGGTGGCTGTGGACAGGGTTCCTTGGTGGGCTCTGGGTCAGGGAAGCAGGGTTAATGGAGTGTTGGGCAGGGCTGCACAGAAGCAGGAGAGTGTCCTGAGCACAGGGTCCAGCAGCCTAGGAGGGCCCGTCCCCAAACCCTCCTCCTGCTGCACCTCTGCTGTCGGTGGGGAAGGATGGGGCTGACGCAACCCAGGGTGTGCACATGGTGAAAACAGGATGTGGTATGAGGAGACAAGCAGGATGTTTCTGGGGGCCCCACAGGACCCCACCAAGGGGTGGGGGTGGTGGCACCCGCAGCAGCACGCTGAGACCCTGGGCTCATCCCCATGGCCTGCCTGACCCCGGGGCTGTTGCCCCTCTGGTGTGGTACAGCGTGGGCTGGCAGCAGGGCTGGTTGCTGCAGTAGCTCAGGGGGCCGAAGGACACCCTGAGGCATCTGAAGCCCACCCTCCCCTTACTCCATAGCTGGCATTCTGGGTGCCGTGTCTCCATCTCATGCTGCTGAACAGGATTTAGCTGAGTCAAGGCAGCCAAAGCTGATGCAGCCTCTCCCGGCGACTGACGGGGACAGGGATGGGGACAGGGATGTGCTGGGGTCGCTCCCATTGCAGGCACGGCCCCACATCTCCCAGACTCGCCACACAGGGGTCCTGCATGGAGCAGTGGGGTCCCTGCAGACACCCCATAGCAAGGGGGAAGACAGTGGGAAACAACATCCCGTGGGGACTGGCATGGCTCCTAGTCCTTCTCCTGGTTCCAGTTCTTGTCCCAGACAGCTGTGGGAGATGCCATGGAGCCTGTGGAGAGGAGCGGGCACCAGCGGTCCCCACGGCCAGCGCAGGACCTGGACCTGCAGTGGAGAGGTCTGGCAGAGATGGGGGAGCTGCAGGGCTGGGGGTCTGCTGGCCTGCCCAGCTGGTGGAGGGGAAGGGAGGGGACCCCGGCGCTGCGCACTGAGCTCAAGATGTGCCGGGTCGGGTGTCCTGGCAGGCTCCGAGGAAGGAAGGGCTGGGCCAGCCCAGGACCTGCCTGGCTGGGACCCCAGCACATGGCGTCTCCCGGCCCCGCGCCAGGGAGGGGGAGCAGGCCCTGGCGCCCATTTCCCACCCGGCCGGGAGCACAGGAGTTAAGGTGCTGACGGCTCTGGCTCATGGCGGCAGGAACAGGGTGGTGCTGGTGCTGGCTGCTGGCGAGGCCGGGATGACGCCCGAGAGGCCCCGGAGCTCATTGGTACGGGGCCCTGAGTCACCGCGGAAGCACCGAGGCTGCAGGTGTCCACACCCGGCACGGCAGCTCGGGCACGGCCAGCGGGGCCGGGGAGGGTCCTGCCACGATGGTGCTCAGGGCAGAGGACAGCGGTGAGCCGGGCCGGGGCGCGGGGGGCCGGGCGAGGGTGGCCGGTGGCTCCGTGTGTGCCCCGCTGCCCTCGGGCAGCGCTGGGACAGGGACGAGGCCAGCAGGGCCCCGTGCCCAGCAGGGCCCCGTGCGGCGGGGCTGTGCTCTGGGCGAGGTGCGGAGCAGGCTGCGGTTGCTGCTCGGGGGTGAACAGGCCCGCTGAGCCCCGAGCCCCATGGACAGATCCTGCTGCTCTGGGACAGGATCCTGGTTGGGGAACCCGCGCCTCCCTGTGCTGGCGGGGAAGCCCAGCCACGCTGGGATCCGGCAGTGTGGTGGGTCCCTGTGCGAGTTCTGTGCCAGGCTGAAGCCAGGGGCAGTGTCTGTTCCCGTCCCCCGGCACTGCTGTGCCTGCGGCCAGGCTCGCCGGGGCTCTCCAGGGCAGTTGCTGTGCAGAGCCAGGGAAGGGTTAATGCCGCCTTCCTTCCCCAGAAAAGCTCCTGCGTCTGGGGTTTCTCTTCCTCTGGCTGCTGCTGACATGGCTGGGCTGCTTGTCACGAGTGCTCAGCCTCCACCGGGGAGGGACCTTCCGGGGCTCGGGAGCGGCCCTGCCGTCCCTGCTGCCCTGCAGCGTCTCATCTACGCCTCTCCCGGGGCCGCCGGGACCCCAGCTGGAACCCCTGTCCTCTCCCAGGTGGGCAGGAAGAGGCAGAGCTGAGGGCTTGCCTGAGGCCTGGCATGAATTTGGCTTTCCCTGCTGCCGTGACGGGGGTCTGGTGGCTGAACAAGAGGGTCCTGCAGTTAGGCAGGAGGGTCCTGTGACACACGCAGCAGCCCGGGGATTTGGGGGTTTCTGTGTCTGATGAGCGGGTGTGACGAAGCTCATCCCTCCCTCTACGAGCCTGGGCTTGCTGGGCACCCTGGGGGCCTGGCAGTGGAGGCTGATGCCGGTGGGAATGGTGAGAATGGCGCTGGGGCGTGCAGAAGGGCTGGGATGCATCGACACAGCTCTGGTACTGTAAGTAACTTTTAACCTGGTGCCACGAGCCGACCGGTCTGGCTCAGGCTTCCCGACATGGGAGACTGAAAGTATTGGGAAGTGTTGGCGTGTCTGAGGGACGGTGTCGCAAGCCGAGGCGCCTCAGCCTTGGCAACAAGGGGCTGTAAAGGAGGAAGCTCATCAGAGCCAGAGCAGAGCTGGGAAGTGCTGAGCTCAGAGATTCAGGGTGCAGGGTGGCCCTCACCCAGGGAGCTCCCACTGAGGCAGTGTGGGGAGAATCGATGCACAGTTGAGGACAGCGCTGGTCCAAAGGCACATGGTGTTTTTGGGCACTGGTGTGGGGCAGTGACTGCGCTGGGGACACTCTGGTGAGTCTGGGCTGGTGGCAGCGGTGGCTGTGTACGTGGTGGCACACGGGACCTCAGCAGGTCAGGGGGTAATGCTTGGGGCAGGGGAGGATGGTGACAGCCCTACAGACGCCTGTTCCCAGCACCCCAGGGCGGGAGGTGGGGGTGACACAAGAGCTGAGCTGGCAGATCCTGCTGCCACCTCCCTTGGGGACAACACTCTGGAGGGAAGGTGTTTTGGTGTCCTTGCAGGTGACCTTGGTGCAACGCAGAGAAGCAGCTGGCAGAGGTGGGAGACATGAGCATAGTAGGAGGACTGGGAGCACTCTTGAAGGAGCCAGTGACCTTGGGGACTGGAGGGAACAGGAATGGGATACCTTGTCACTGTGAAGCAAGGAGGTCACATGCCAAGGAGCACTAGGAATGTTCCTGGAGCACGGGAACCATGTGGTGGCCCTGAGCGATGGTGTTGGAGAGGGGGTATCTGGCTCCCCAGGGTGACAGGAAGGTGTAGATGTTGTGGTGTGCAGGTGAGGTCTGTCTGGAGGGTGCACCAGCTCCAGGCTGGCCTCAGAATAATGAATCCACTGTAGAGGGAGCTGCAAGGATGGCCAGGAGCTGCTTTGTGTTTGGGGCTGACCTGGTGCAGCAGAACAACCTGCAGGGCTGCAGGTCGGTGTGGAGCCTGTGCTGCAGGGCACAGCAGAGCTGCCCAGCCATGGGGAGCAGAGTGGGCACCCACACCAGCCCGGCTGAGGCAGAGCAGAGTGAAATGGCCTCCAAGTCACTCTGCTGACTTGGAGGGGCAGCAGGGCTGGCAGAAGCAGTGCTAGAGGTGATGCAGAGGCCCGTGTGGGTTCTCACTCTGCAGCTGCCACAGTCTGAAGGAGCAGATGCCCTTGCCCTCAAATTCCTTTCATGCCATTGGTGCCACTTGGCCTCTGTGTGGGGCTGGGGACACTGCTCGCCAGCCCAGCTCCTCCTGCCACCCAGCGCCTCCACGTCCTGCCTCCACCCAGGCCCACAGCTGCTGGCTGGGGACAGAGGCTGTGCCAGGAGTCTGGCAAGTCTGACTGCCAGGAGCACACATGCTGATCTGATCGTGTCTCTGCTCAGTGCCCAGTGACCTGACCCCAGAGGAGTGCCAGGAGCTGGAGAACATCCGCCGCCGAAAGCAGGAGCTGCTGGCTGACATACAGGTACGATGTCAGGGACCCACACAATCCCCCTGTCCCAGAGACAGCAGCCTGGCTGGAAGGGTCCCTGGAGCCCCATGCAGCTGCCCTACAGCTCTTCCTCCGAGGGGCTGTGGGGACAGGGTCCCAGCTGGGATGTGGTCCCAGGTGGCAGCCAGCCGTCCCTGCCCTGCCAAAGCAGCCATGCCTTTTCCTGTACCCTGCAGAGCTCCAGGCTGTGCAGTTGTGCCAGTCTGCGCCAGCCCCTGCCTGGCACGGGCAGGGACCATGTCTCTGGGCCAGGCCACTGCCCTGGCAAGTGCCTGTGAGGTCGTGGCTCATCTGGGACACTGTCAGTTGTGTCCCTGATTAAGGCAGCCGAGGCTAATTACTGCCATATGCTGGGCATGATCTGAAGGGATTAGGGGTAATGTTGTTAACCTCTGAATCTCTTCCTTCCTGCATGCTGGGAGCGTGGCAGTGCTGCAGGGATTAGCAGCGGGGGGCAGCCAGCCCCACTGCCAGTGCCCTCCAAGCTGGTTCAGCCCCTGGGCAGTGCTTGGGGGTGGGGGAAGAAGGGAGGGAAGGAAGGAGGGGCTCTGGGGCCTCTTGGGGGCATGGGGCTGTCTCCAGGGCTGGGGGCTGGAGGGTTTGTAGGGGAAGCACCTCCTTGTCTCAGTGCCCCCTCTCCCCACAGCGCCTGAAGGATGAGATAGCGGAAGTGACGAATGAGATCGAGAACCTGGGCTCCACGGAGGAGAGGTGAGTCCCCGCACCTTGGAGCCCCCTCGGGCTCGCCTATGCTGTGCAGGAGCCAAGGGCAGCTGAGCCCTGGCCCACGACTGCTGGTGTGAGCAGCTTTCCCATGCGCTCTGAGCTCCTGGGAGCAGGATTCCAGGATGATCTGCTGCTCCCAGGTCTATTTTTCCAAGCCCCAGCCCCTCTGTCTGGCTGCAGCCACTGGCGAGCTTTGTTATTCTGAGCTGGTGCAGTCAGTGCCAGCCGGGATTAGGGGGGCCCGGTGGGAGCTGACGCCCAGCATCATTCCCAGTTACCCACTGGGGCATGAAGACTGTCCCCTTCTGCCAGCCCAACTGCTCTCCCCAGAGCCCTGCTACAGCCAGCTTGCCCAAGCCTCCCCACGTCTGGGTGACCTGGCAGGTACCTGCACCCCCTCTGCTCAGGGTGACCCCAAGGACACGTGGTGGCAGCTGTGCACTGTTCCAGGGCCTGGCAGGCCGAGAGCAGCCCCAGGCCACGGTGTGGGGCAGACACAGAGCAGTGGGTCCAGCATGGGGGCCTGGGTCCCGTTGGTCCAGGCTGACCTTCCCCACGGTGCACTGCCCCAGGGGCTGCACAGAGGCAGTGGGGCCCTGCCAGGTGCTCAGAGCTGTTTCATGCCTTGCAGGAAAAACATGCAGAGGAACAAGCAGGTGGCCATGGGCAGGAAGAAGTTCAACATGGATCCTAAGAAGGTACTGTGGGATGGGGAGCAGCACTGGTTACCCACCACTGGGGATGTGCACGGCTCTACCACCTCCCAGTCCAGGTTGCTGGGGCTGGGGCAGAGCCAGCAGCCAGGGCAGGGGCTGGCGCTCAGGGGGCAGGCTGGCAGGGGCAGCCACAGACCCCCAAGCACCTCTCTTGCACCCCTCCAGGGCATCCAGTTCCTGATCGAGAACGACCTGCTGAAGAACACGTGTGAGGACATTGCGCAGTTCCTGTACAAGGGAGAGGGCCTCAACAAGACAGCCATTGGCGACTACCTGGGCGAGAGGTGCACTGAGCTCAGCTTCCTGGGGGTGCTGTGGGCTCCTGCCACCTGAGAGATGGGACACTGCAGCTCTGAGCTCACAGGGGAGCTCACTGGGGGTACCCGGGGTGCTGGGGGTATTCAGTTCATGGCTGGCTCTAGCAAGTGGCTGATTTGTGCAGACCAGACCAGGCGGTAGCTGCAGCTTTCCCCCATGAATGAGTAGAATCTGGAGAAGGGCAGGGGCAGTGGAGCCACTCAGAAGTCACAGGATTGCTGATCATGCATCCCTCGTGCTCTGGCTTTGTTCCCACAGGGATGAGTTCAACATCCAAGTCCTGCATGCCTTTGTGGAGCTGCATGAATTCACTGACCTCAACCTTGTGCAGGCTTTGCGGTGAGTAAGGGGCTGGGAGCTGAGCGTGGCGCACTGAGGGTGCTGGGGACCATGGAGCCCCCAAATCAGCAGCACAGCTGGCCCTCCACAGGCAGTTCCTGTGGAGCTTTCGGCTGCCAGGGGAGGCACAGAAGATTGACCGGATGATGGAGGCCTTTGCCCAGCGGTACTGCCAGTGCAACCCTGGTGTCTTCCAATCCACAGGTGAGCGCCTGTCCCAGATGGTGCCCTGGTATCATCCTGCCCCACAGCTGACTTTCCCCTCTGCCCCTGCAGACACCTGCTACGTGCTGTCCTTTGCCATCATCATGCTGAACACGAGCCTGCACAATCCCAATGTGAAGGACAAGCCCACGGCAGAGCGATTCATCGCCATGAACCGTGGCATCAATGACGGGGGGGACCTGCCTGAGGAGCTGCTCCAGGTGAGGGCCAGGGCCAGGCTGCAAAGCTGGCCCAGAGCAGGGCCCACCACGGGGCTGCTGGGCGAAGCAGAGCTGATTCCATGTCATTGTACCAGAATCTGTACGAGAGCATCAAGAATGAGCCCTTCAAAATCCCTGAGGATGACGGCAATGACCTCACCCACACCTTCTTCAACCCTGACCGAGAGGGCTGGCTCCTGAAGCTCGGTGAGTGCCAGTAGCAAGGGAGGGCAGGCTGCCACCAGGGTGCAATGCCCCTGGGCTTCCCACACTTCTCCTGCTGGCCTGGCTCTTCAGAGCACAAGGAGGCTACAGAGACAGGCACAGCCTTCACGGGAAAGGCATCTGTACATCCAGCCCTCTGTGTTCCCTTGGCTGGGCAGCAGGAGCAGACTCAGAGCTGATGAGGCCCTGCAGAGTGGCTGGGTGGGTGTCCTGGGGGATTCTGCCTCTAGGCTGGGCATGCCCCTGGGACACAGCGCTGGTACCAGGGTGTGGTGTCAGAGCACAGAGACCTCGAGGCCCTTCAGGTCACCAAGTCACAGCAAGATGTGGAGCAGGCCCCCGGGAGCAAGCGGCGAGCTGCCCCAGGCTGCGTGCGTCCCCCCTCCATACCACAGACAGCCCCTGCCTCACCTTCCCTCAGCATTACCACCTCCGCATCCCAGCTCCACATGCAGGCAGCATGCATGGCATCCCTGCTGCACCACCCGGCTCCGCAGCCGGAGCCCTCCGCGCCCTGGCTCCTGTGGCTTCTCTTCTTGGCACCTCTGGGGAATCCTCTGCCCGGGTTTAGTGAGGGGGAATGGGAGTTGGCAGGATCAGGGTCCAGTGGGGCGTTTCCCCAGGGTTCTGCCTGGGGTCAGAACTCCTGATACATGGCCAACCCCTTGGGAGGGGAGAGCAAGAGCTACCTGCTCCCTGCCCTGGGGTGGGGGGACACAGGACAGCCCCAGGCTCTCCTGACTGGAGGGGCCCCGCACACCCAGGTTTAGGCTGGCACCACCCATGGGGAGGTGGAGGGGCAGCAAAGTGGCTGTGGACCCCAAGTGCCTTGGAGGGCAGGGAAGAACCCTGCCAATCAGCCAGGGGGTGGAGTGAGCCAGGCCCTGTCCCCAGCAGTCAAGGAGCCCCATCCCACAGAGCCACAGTGAGCCAGGGCAGTCAAGCCCCACAGCCCTGCCGCTGGCCCAACCCCTCACAGCTTCCCTGCTGCAGCCCGGCCCCACTGACCCGCAGGGCAAGGGGGGGCTTTGGGTTCCTCTTTTTATTTTTTTCCTTTTTTTTTTTTAATTTTCTTTTCTCCCTCATTTATATGTTTCCATGATTTTGGCTCTTCCTTTCCTTGCCCCCAACTCCAGGAGGTACGTACCCCTCTTCCCTGCTCTGCTCACACTGCTGGGGCTTCGTTTCCTTTGCGTTTTTAATTGCTGGTGATGAGTCTCATTGCTGCTGCTGTTGCTGCTAACCCCACACGCCCGGGGACCTCGCCTGCTGCAGGACAGCCCCTCTCCATCTCCAGGCAGGGACATGGGGTGCCAGCCCTGCCAATGCCACACGTTCCCCAAGGCCTGTGGCCTCCTCTGCTGCCCCGGGGGAGGATGGGGCCGTAGTGGCACCTTGCCACCCCCCCAGCTGGGCACCACCATGTCCGCAGACAGCTCAGCCTGGCCAATGGGTCCTTGCCTCCAGTGACACAAGGGATGGAGACAGGTTTGGGGTCTCCTCGGGAGGGGTCCCAGCCTGTGCACGGGTGGTTAGGGTGTGCCAAGTGACTGCAGCTGGATGGGATCTGTCTGCGTGGTGCCCTGTGCTAAGGGCTCACAGCAGTCCCCATGAGGCACCAGCACTGCTCCAATGCCTGCACCCCAAGGTGTCAGGGAGCATTGGTGCTGGCCCTCAGAACTGCTCTGGGGCAGGGACAGGGGTGGGCTGCCAGCTGGCACAGGGCAGCAGGGGCCCAGGGCCTTCCTGGCAAGGGAAGGAGGTGTGCAGGACCCCCAGTGTACACTGTGGCTCCTGGTGTCCGTGCCGGATCCAGCCTGCGAGGGTGGGTGCTCGTCCTGCATTCAGCACTGCTGCCGTGGCTGCGCTGGAGGGGAGCTGGGCCGGGTGGGGGGAGCAGGGCAGCTTCTCCTGCTGGCAGCTGTGGAGCTCGGCCATGGCCTTGGGTCCTGCCTTGCCCAGGGTCCAGGACGAGCGGGACCGTGGTCAGTGTGAACAGAAAGTCCCCGTGTGCTCCCAGGGAGCTGCCTGGCCGCAGTTCCCTCTAGCTGTGCTGAATCTGTGTTTGGGTGGGAGCGGCCAGCGCTCCCGGCCCGGCGGTCCCGCCCTCGCCTCCATCCTCATCCGTGCGCTTCCTGCTCTGGTCGGTGCGGTGTGCGCTGCCTGCTGCTGCTGCCCGCCGCTGCCTGGCTCTGCTTGGCTCTGTGTGTGCGCTGCTGGAGCCCCTGTGTGCCCGGCCGGCTCCGTGCTGCCGAGCTGCCGCGTGCCCGGCCCTGCTGGCCAGGGCTGTGCCCGACTGGCCCTCTCTGCTCCCAGGAGGCAGGGTGAAGACGTGGAAGCGGCGCTGGTTCATCCTGACTGACAACTGCCTTTACTACTTCGAGTACACAACGGTGAGTGGGCTCCTGCAGGGCGAGCTGGGCTGGGGCAGGGAAGGGGCTGGACTGGGGGTGTCCCACCCCACAGCTAAACATCTGCTTGGCTGCACCAGGATAAGGAGCCCCGTGGCATCATCCCCCTGGAGAATCTGAGCATCCGTGAGGTGGAGGACTCAAAGAAGCCCGTGAGTGTTGTGGCAGTGTCCTGTGGGGTCTGGGGACAGCTTTGGCTTGGGCAGAAAAAGCTGGGAGGTTGCAGCACGCTGAGATGTCCCCAGGAGGGGCAGGGGACCGCAGGGCGGTCACTGTCTTCATCAAAGTGGGGCTGGTCACCACAGGGGCACGTGCAGGGCCAGGGGGTGACAATCACAGTGTGTCTGTTCCTCTCTGCCGTGCTGGGGTGGCTGTGCCGGGCGTGTGTGGCTCTGCTTTGTCCCTCCCAGTCTGGGGTCCCCTTTGGAAATGGGGGCTGTGTCTGAGCGGTCTCTCCCTCCCAGAACTGCTTTGAGCTCTACATCCCTGACAACAAGGACCAGGTGATCAAGGCCTGCAAGACAGAGGCAGACGGGCGTGTGGTGGAGGGGAACCACACCGTGTATCGCATCTCTGCCCCCACGCCTGAGGAGAAGGAGGAGTGGATCAAGTGCATCAAGTGAGTATTTGGGGGAGCACGTGGGGGCACGGCACTGGGCAGGGGCACAGCAGGGACATGCCTGCTGTCCTCAAAGGGGACAGTGCTTCCCAGGGCATCCTGCAAGGATGGGGGGAGAAGGCTTCCCCAGGGATATAAAGGGACCTGCCCAGGGCCAGGCCAGGCAGGTGGCACCCATCACTGCAGCAGTTTGGCCTGACCCAGCCCTTGCTCCCCTGCCAGGGCAGCCATCAGCCGGGATCCCTTCTACGAGATGCTGGCTGCCAGGAAGAAGAAGGTCTCCTCCACCAAGAGGCACTAGCAGCCAGACTGGCCCTGCGAGGCCAGCCCAAGTGTCCCCCGGTCATAGGGGCATGGGGGGTGGGGGCCATGCTGCATGCTGGCCCTTGAGGCCCAGGGCCCAGCTTCAGCTTAGCTATTTCTTTATTGTGGGGGGAGGGAAGGGGCACGGGCATCTCAGTGACTGGCCCCCCATCACTGCCTCATCACTGACAGCATCTTCACAGGCTCAAGCTGGAACACAGCACCCCTGGGAGCCCTGGCCTCAGCACCACGGGCACCCTCACTGCCTCTGACCCCCAGGAAGCCTGTGGCCATGTGGCACTGGGTCCCCCAGCACCAGTGCTCAGACGCTCTTGGGGTGTTCTGTCGGGAGGGCAAGCGGCTGTTGGTGAGCAGCTGGAGGTTTGGGGGTGCCACAGGTGCTGGGGTGCAGCCCCAGCCCCAGGGTGCCCTGCAGAGATACAGCTCCTGGCCCTCGTTGTAGCGGGCCTGGGTCTGTCCTAGGTGTCCCCACGCTGCTGCCTTGGACCCCCCCCCCAGCGACCCCCTGCGCTGGAATGGTCCCACAGACACAGGAGGGACAAAGGGCAGGGACTGTTGATGAGCAGTGGTGGCACGCAGGGCAGGGATGTGCCCTCACCCTGCTGTGGGAGCTGTGGCTTGGATGTGGCAGCACTCAGTGGCATTGCCCCAGCCCATCCTTGTGCCATGGCCCTCGTGGCAGGGTGGCATGGTGCCATGGTGCAGCCTGCCCTCAGGATGGCTGCTGGTGGGGGTCTGGGTGGGTGGGCGCTGTGGCTCCACCTCTCTGCCTCACAATCGCCTGTGTCTTGTCCTGTCCCCCTCCCCACGCACGGTCTGGAGGCACCTGGATCAGTATTAGTCTATTTATCAGAGGTGTAAATACTCCTGTATAGTTTTCTCCTTGTAGATTATTTTGTATGTGGGTGGTTCAGTGCAGAGGCCTCACAGGAGTGGGGCGGGTGGGCAGGATTTTTTATTCTAATTTTTTTTTTTTTAATTTGCCATGGCCTTGTAAACTAGTGCTGAAGATCAGCAACAAATAAATACTTGTACCACGCTTCCCTTGGCTTCCTGTGCTCTGTGCAGCTTGGGTGGGAGTCCCCTGCCCCTGTCAGCCCTTGCCCCTTGCCCAGCCTTGGACTGGGCTCATGGTCCTCCCGGCCCGAGGTTGTGATTGCTGGGGGTGTTTGTGAGCCTTGTGCCTTCACCAGCTGCCCCTGGCCACCAGGACAGTGCCTGGGGTACCTCACTGCAGAATGCAGGGTGCCTGTTCCAGGCTGGGACAACTCTTGGTGCTGGACCTGCAGTGGGCACCATGCTTGGCTGGGCAGGGCTGTGGTCACCCTTGGCAGAGGCGTCCAGGGCACTGTGGAGGACCTGGGACAATGGGGGCAGAGGGTACCCTTGTTCTGCATCGGGCTGGGGATGCATACCCAGCTGGTGCCAGGTGTGAGTGGGATCAAAGCCAAGCCGGGAGCGCCAAGCCTGTGCCAGCTGTGTTGGTGCCATCAGGCCTGGAGGGGGTTGTCCAGTCACACACCCTTGTGCCATGGTGGGGATCTGCCAGAGCATTCCCTGCTGCAGTCCCTGCCCATCCTGTGCCTCGGATGGGGCAGCCTTTGGCACTGCAGCCTGAGTCTGGCCAGGGTGGGCAAACAGGATTGCTGAGGGATGGGGCAGTGGGGTGTGCAGGGGGAAGGGCAGCCCTGCAGTTGGGCTGTGCCCGTTGGGCTGGTGCCAGGGTCAGTTGGGGCAGACCGTCAGTTGAACAGCTGGCAGTGTCAGGTGGGGTGCAGACAGTGCCTGGAGGCTGTTGGAGGGTTGAGGAGTGCGACAGGGAAGCAGCAGAGCCAGGTGAGATTGGGGTGAGCCAGGGCAGTGATAGGGCCAGTCAGGATGGGGCAGGACAGGGGGCAATAGGGCTGGGTGGTGATGGGGCAGGCCGTGATGGGGTGGGCTTGGGGCCACTGGGCCCAGGCAGGGATGGGACTGGCAGCTTCCCCTAGGACTGCATGTGCAGAGGGAAGGCTGAGGGCAGTGGAGGGGTGGGATGGGAGTGTCAGGCGGTCAGGGTGGGGTTGGCACAGCCCCTGGCTGAGCGGGGTTTTCCCACTGCCCCCCCCCTCCCCAGGGAGCTGCAGCGAGCCCGGGGCTGGCAGGATGGCAGACGGGCCACAGGACGAGCGGTTAGTCCTCCTTGAGAGCCTGGCCACGGCGCTGCTCCGTGTCCGGCCAGACAAGTGGGCCAAGTTTGCGGCCAGCGAGGAGACTTCAGTCATGCTGGACAAGTTCTTCAAGCAGCCAGAAATGCTGGAGCTGGTGCTGGGGCTGAACCCTGCTGGGCAGCTCCTGCCCACCACCTGCTTCCCACCTGCCCTGAAGGGCAAGGGAATCTACTGCGTGAAGAAGAAGGAGGAGAACATCACTGGGGAGAACTGTCGGAGTGCTCTGCTGGTCGGAGACATCGGCCCCTCACCTGTGGAGCAGCTCATCACCGTGCTGCTGGAGGTGGGTTGCCCATGCAGGCACAGGCTTGGGGTGAGCAGGGTGAGTGGAGCTCCCCGGGTACTGCTGCACTGGGACCCCCGCTGTGGGCTGCTCTAGCCAAATTCCAGGTGGGCTCCAAATTTCCAGGTGGGCTCCAAACTAAAATTCACAGAAGAAAACTTGTGTCAGGTCCTCGCTCTGACCCTGCAGTGGTTCCCATCCTATGTTGAACAAGCCCCATGAGGACAAGAGCTGGGTTAAGGTCACCAACCTGGTTTTCTTCTGGCCCCTACTGGATTACTTCCTCCCTGCAATTTTAGAAACTCATAATAATGCCCACTTACTTTTACCCTGCAGCTGGGAAATGTCTAAGTGGATTTCCCTCAAACTTCCCATAAATATTCCCACTGCCAGTCCAGAGCACCCAAAAGCTGCATCAGCTCCAGGAGCCCTCACTATTCCCCCTCACTGCTGAGGGCTTTTGCTCATGTGCCAGCCCCTGACTCTGCCACATTCATTCACTGTGCCACTTCCAGCCCTTCCCAGGCCATGAGAGCTGGAAACCAGAGCAAAGGACCTTTTGGTCACACTGGTATCAGCAAAACCTATCTGTGGCCAAGAGAGCTGTGACTGCACTGAGACTGTGCTTCAATGGGCAGTGAGAGGGAAATGCCCACTGCCCTGTGTACAGGAGGTCATGACCAAGTGCCTGACCTAGCCCTGTCTTGCAGGTTGTGTCCCCTCTGCTCCTGAGCCAGGATGAGGGGGTGGGCTGGCCCAGGATCGTGGTGGAGGACATCGTGCGCCACACTCACCAGCTGCAGAACAAGATGTTCCTGATGACTGGGAAGATCCAGGGAAAACCACTGCTCCCACTGCCCGAGCACCTGGTCAGCTGGGAGGACTCAGGCGCCACCCTGGACTGGTGGGTGGCATCACTTGGTGCCAGAAAAGCCTGGCAGGGGCCCAGGACAGCATAAATCACTCAGGAAGGAACGGGAGCTGGGTCACTGGCTTGGTCCCTGCACAGCCTTGGGCAGAGCCATCCCCTGCAGCAATGTTTGAGGGGTTCATGCCAGGCATCTGCACTGGCAGAGATGGCCACAAGCAGTAGTGACTGGCTTCCCTAGGGCTGTTTGGGGTTCCCCTGGGGCAGTTCAGGGCTCCCAAGGGGCATAACCCATCTGCCTTTCAGCCTGGTGGGGCCCGTAGATGGCACAGTGCTGCACTCCATCGAGACCGTGGTCATCGAGTGGTTCCAGCAGGTTGAGGAGATCTTTGGCCAGGACCCAGCACAGCAACTGCTGGAGGGGCTGCACCCCCTGCCCAAGGTCGAGTTTGATTTCTGGCAGACCAGGGTGACCAGCTTGGAGTGCATCAGTGAGCAGGTACTGTCTCACCCATGGTGGCCACATCTCCTCAAGCTGAGCCCTCTGTGCTGAGCCGCCCGTGCTGATGCTGGTGCCTCTTCCCTGGCAGCTGCTCACACCCCAAGTGACCGTGCTGGCCAAGACCCTGGAGAAGGCTGACAGCTGCTACTGGCCATCGCTGCAGAACATGTTCAGGGCCGTCAATGGTGGTGAGGTCCCATGCCAGGGTGGTAGATGCCTCCAACCAGGTGTCCTCATCCCAGCACAGACTTTCTCCATGTCTTAGGTCTGGAGGAAGCCAATGATGTCAACCTTCACCTGCAACCGCTGCAGGGGCTGCTGGAGGAGATGGAGCAAATGGAATACGTCCAGGTGGGTGATGTGTGGCAAAATAACCAGGCACAGCCTGGTGGCCTCATCTGGGCAGGAGCAGAGCCCCAGAGGCTTTGGGGGGACACATCCCCCCGCACTGACGAGGCTCTGCTCCCGCAGCTGCGGCCCTTCGTGCCCAAGGTGCTCTGCACCATCTGCCTGCTCCGGGCTCACTGCGTGCACTACCACTCGCCTGCCCACATAGCCCGTATCCTGCAGGAGACCTGCAACTTCTTCATCAGCCTGGTACAGCCCCACGGCCAGCACTGACCCACCCCTGTCCCCTCCAGTTGCCTCTCTGGGGCAGATGTGGAGAGTCCAGTCAGGGTGATGCGGAGACAGCCTAGACAAGGGAACAGCAGAGTCCCCGTAGGGCTGGGAGGAGTCTGGGGCAGGCACGGGCTGCAGGCAGCCACCAGCAAGTCTGTGGGGGTGAAGGGGGCAGGAGGAGCCTCTACGTCCTCCTGACAGCTGCCCCTGCCTGTGTCTGCCCCAGACCTATAAATTCCTGAACCCTGAGGACATGCTGAAGGGGCTGCAAGGAGAGCCCCAGGAGACCCTGCAGGGACTCAAACAAGCCATCTCCACCACAGAGAAGTTCTTCCAGTCCTACAACACTTACTGCTCTGACCTAACGCCCATGTTCTTCCCGGTGGGTGCAGGGATGGTGCAGGAACCTCTGACCCCCTGCACACCAGCACCAGACTGACAGCTCCTCTCCCCTCCCAGGAGGAGTCAGAGCTCTGGCAGTTTCCCCCCACACAGATCTTTGGGAGGATGGATGCCTTCCTGCACAGGCTCAAGGCCATCAAGGTGAGAGCTCAGCACTTGAGGGCACAGTGCCAGCCTCAGCCAGGCCTTCCCTGCCCTGGGGATCCTGGGGAGGCAGTGGCACAGGGGGAGCTCAGCTGGGGCCGCTGGCACAGTGGGACATCACTGGGAGTTCAGTGGCACCATTCCCAGCACAGTTTCCCCCCAACCCTGAGCCCCCATGGCAGGATGGGCACACCCTAGCCAGGCCACCCCTGGGGCTGCTCCTCAGGACTGCTGAGCAGGCAGGACTCAGCCCTGTGCTGGTGCTGCACCTGCAGCGTGGACAGGGGAAGCCAGGTAAAAGGGGGTTTGTGCTTGCCAGGAGCTCTTCCAGGTAGCCATCGACTTCCAGAGGCTGGAGAAGACAGTGCTGGGAGGGGTGCGAGGAAACTTCCTTGGGACCTGGGTGTTGAGGATCTCTGAGGAGATCTGTGAAGCCACCAAGGCTTTTGCTGAATGCAAATATGATCCCTTGGATCCCGATGAAGAGGTGAGCAGATGCTGGAGTGGAAATGTGATGGGTGCTGGAATGGAGGTGTTAACATTGGCTAAGTGAAAATAAAAAAATCTCTTGTGAGAACATGCTGCACAGGGACACATGGCACTGCCCCACAGCAGCACAGGGCTGGCTCTGGAGCACGTCATGGGGCTCTGAACCCTCTGGGTTCAGCAAACCCTTCCTGAAGGATTTGAGAAGGAGCCACAGGGGCTGTGCCACTTTAACCCATTTTGCTCTCAATGGCAGCAATGGAACAAAGACTTTGCAGAGTTCCAGAACAAGGTTGAGGATGCAAACAAGCAGCTGGCTGCCATCTTCTGCCAGGGCTTTGATGACTGTAACCGCCTGACAGGTGCAGTGAAGGTACCTGTGCCCCAGCTCGGCAGCCTGGCATGCAGCTCCCACGGGACCTGGGGGTCTCACCCGTCCTGGGACTGCTCCAGGGTGCAGGAACCTGTGCCTGCCTCTCTCTCCTGCAGCTGGTGCACATGTTTGCCTCCGTGCTGGAGAGGCCCCTGATCAAGGC